ATCTTTAATTGTTCTTCCACTCACTTCAAATATAACATTTTTCAAATTTGTTTTAGATGACACTTTAATATAAGAAATTCCAATTATTTGACCAGAAGCTACATCCATTGAAAAATCAACAACTTCAAAACTGTTTTTCTTGAAAGTGGAATTTACAACTAAAATACCATTATTGTAAAGAGAAAAAGTTGGTGTATAAAAACATGAATTGTCATTTACTTTAACTTGAATACTTTGTAAATTACATAAAGCTTTTGTTTTAAACTGGGAATTGCCATTCAAAATGATAGAAGAATCTCCAAATGCATAAATATACCCAACATCACGCATTACTGAATTATCAAACAATTCAACTGAACCACTCCAATAAATATAAAAATATCCACCCATATATATTTCAGAATTGTTATATAAATGAATTCTAGAATTGGTTCCTAGAAAGAGCATACGATCTGAATAGATCTTTGAATTAGACTCAAGCTTTAAATAACCTCCATTATCAACTTTAAAGTCCCACATAGCTTCGATAAAAGAATTTGATTTCATTATAAATTGGGCAGATTCTTTTACAGTTGTTTTTTGATTTGGTCTAAAAGAAGAGTTGTTCACCATTTCAAATACAACTGAACCTTTAATTTCTAATTCGTTTTCAAAAGAACATACCTTATCAAACGTATACAACGCGGGGAAAGATTCTGGAAACGAACACGTGTCACTTAATACAATTACAATCAATAAACAAAAATTGATTTTCATGAAATGACTGATTTTGTAGATTTAAATTGATGATATTATATTTTAAAAAACACTTGAAAAATACCCCATATTTTTGGGATAATTTGAATGCAATTTATGTAAATCAAAATCACAAGATATTAACTTGTTAATTTTTATAAATTATATATTGTAAAATACATTTTGATATTGTTTTTAAAAACATTGTTTTGGGTTCGAAAGTGTTTGTGAATACAATTATTTAAATTATTCATTTTTTAAGTTAAAAATAAATTTAAAAGATTAATTTATGAATGTTTCTGTTGTAATTGTTTTTTCCAAAAATATAATTTGTCATAAAACTTATAATTAATAACAACAATTTGTTAAATAAAAATTTGAAACTGACAAGATTTATTACATGATTTGTAATTTTTAATAAAATTATAATAATTTAATAAAATGTTTATACTAATCAAATTAAAAAACATTGTCTATATAAAAATATCATAAACATATTTAATTCGAATTGTTTAAAAAGTTTAAAAATAGTATATATTATTTCATATTAGAGTCAGTCGGATAACGTTGTTCAGTCCCCAAACGTTGTTCACCTCAGAATCTTCTAAATAACGGCTAAATTTTCTACAAAAAAATGTAAATATTAAAATAGAACAACAATAAACATACCAATAACATTTTCTTTTTCATATTATGTTTTTCTTTTTCCAAATCAAAACGAACATAAAACCAACAAAATCATTTAATTTCAAGATCTTCACGTTTCTTGCCGAAATCAACAAACACCCCGGAAACCATGCCAAAATGACGATCTCAAGTTGAGACCGTTCAATCGGCGAAAGTTGGCTGGTTTCCACTTGCTGCGATGGAAATGCAGAAGGCGCTCCGTCAGGTCGTTGCAGCACTTAGTCGCCTCTAGTTTGTTAATATATATTTCCAATTCAACCCAATTCAATTTAATTAAATACAAAGAACAAACATCTTAATTTTTTAGTTCAAAGATAACCTTTAAGTTCTCTAAAATCAAGGTAAAACTTTAAATGTTATGTTGGCTATGTTATTCACTTTTTTTTTCTAATGATAAGTCTGTATTTTTTTAAGGGTTTTTATAGTATAATTTATAGTTTTGTATAGAATGTTATAATATTTTTATTTACAGTTAGTTTCAAAACGATTAGCAATTTTTCACAACAAATCGATTTATGTTTCACAACAATTATTTTTGTACCTTTAATCAAACCTGTTTCATAAAGAATAATTTTGTATCATATATAATAAATTTGTTGCAATATAAAATGAGTTTGTCTCAAAAGAAATATTTGTGCCATAATTATTAATTATTGTTTAAAAAAAATATAGAATGTTTGCATAAATGGTTTCTATTGTTTCTAAACAAATAATTACAAATCACTAGTTAAATGAAGTTTTAATAAATATCTTTTAATTTATTATAATAAGAATGTAGTAATAATTATAATAATAAACAATAAACACATTGAACGAAAATAAGATTATAAATCTTCCATTGCAAACACTTTTCTTGTCACCACCGAAATAAAGTGCGTTATTACTCTGTGTATGTCTGCTAAGGTAATATTTTCGAAACAACTGGAAATGTTTTGCACCATATCCAATATAATTACATTAACCAAATTACTTGGGTTTTGATATGTCACCGCCCCTCTTAAGCTCTCCCAATAGACGTTTAACAGACGCTTCTCCACTTTTTGTTTCTGTCATGTAGTATTTCCAATCTCGTGTCTTTCCATATTCGGCATGTTTTTCTGTCGTTTTTTTCTTTGTGATTCCGTGACTTTTATATATTTTTTGGATTTCCTGTCTGTAGAATTAGAAATCGGTTGTATTTCGAGAGGAGTTGGTAGTGGTGGTGGTATAAGTGACAATGAAATATCTGCAGCGCTTCTTCTCTCTACAAGTTGAATTGTTTGGGTTGGGGCATTTGAATTTGGTTGGACAGTTGAACCTATGTTCAAAAAATGGTCAATGTTATCTCTGTGTATAAATTCAAAAGAGTTGACCGCCATGACGAAATACAATATAATCATTTTTAGGTTTTGATTTACCCACATTTATTTTGATTTGTAATTATTTGTTTAGAAACAATAGAAACCATTTATGCAAACATTCTATATTTTTTTTAAACAATAATTAATAATTATGGCACAAATATTTCTTTTGAGACAAACTCATTTTATATTGCAACAAATTTATTATATATGATACAAAATTATTCTTTATGAAACAGGTTTGATTAAAGGTACAAAAATAATTGTTGTGAAACATAAATCGATTTGTTGTGAAAAATTGCTAATCGTTTTGAAACTAACTGTATCTTTCAATTAATACACCAAGTATTTTAACGGATTTAAATTCAACTCCAATACATTTTACTGCAAGTTTTATTCATTTATTATCTTATTTATTTCCGTTATATTTTTTATGAAGAAAATCCAATAAAAGTTTAAAAATCTATTAGAAACTATATTTTAACTATAGAATACTTATAAATGAAAACTATCAGTTGTTGAATTTAAAAGCTCTGATTTTTTTTGTAATAAGACCAAGTAAAAAAAAATTTAAAAAATTTTAAACATTGTGAGCTTTTAACATGGCTCATAAATGCCTTTTGGCAACATTATTTGAATATAGAATTACAAGAGTCAAGTGCTTTTTGAAAACGCTTGGTTCTAGTAATCACAATAAAAGCTGAACACTTGAATTGTAATTTAGTATGTTTAATGTGTTTGTGTTTTTTTTGTTACTATATTTTTGAAAAAAAATGTAATTGTTTTATCGTTTGTGTAATGCTTTCAATAAGACGAAGCATTGTAATGCTAGGCTCTTTAGACGGTATTATTACAAAAAGCTTTGAATCAATGATTTTTTTTCTGTGAGTTGAAAAGATTTAAATTAAAGCATACCAGAGTCCCTGATATGTTCAAACATATAATTAATTAAACTTGATGCTATTTTTAGCATTTTCTTGTTGTTCAAAAAGCTTGTAAATTATTCACTATAAAAATTATATTTTACTTGTGTTGAAAAGTGTTATGGTTTTCAATTTTATTTACTCATCCAATTTTTTGTTTTTTAT